GTTACGGTTCAGTTCCAAGATGGCGGCGAAGATTTCGGTTCGGTTCAGTTTCGGTTCGGCTAAAAATAACGGTTCTGTTCCGGTTTTCGGTTCGGTTCGGTTCCGGTTCGACACACTGCCCACATCTAACGAACGTACCCCTCCCCCCCCCCCCCCCCCCTTTTTTTCTGGGGCTCAACCCCGTATCCTTTCGTGCTTCTTTTCTTATTTTTTTTTTGTCAATGAAAGAGGGGGCAAACTTTTTTTTTGCGGTGTTTTGCTTTTTCGGTGTCCTTGACGCTCGCGGCGCCCCAGGGGCGACCGTCGCGGGGATGCTTTGGCTTGTTTGGTCCCAACCGTCACGAAGACGTCGCCCATTTACGGCTTATTGTCACCACGGTTGCAGGCGTTGAAGAGCTCTTTGTATTTCGCCGCCCCGAAGGAGGAGCGAGCTCAGGTCAAGTTTTTTGCGATGTCGGAACACGTGCCTTGCTTACAATTTTTTTATTTTTTTATTTTTTTCGTTTGTGTTGTCACGTTTTTCATTCCCAGTTCTCAACTTCTTTCCCGCAGCGATATGTCCTCACTTGTAAGTCATCTCCTGACGAGGTCGAGTCCCTTGGCGACAGTGTTGACTAAACTTCGGTTCTTTATTTTTCTCACCGGCAGTTTTTCACTTCGTTATATATACGCCTTCGGCCCCTTAGCACCTATGCCACCAGGCCCAATATCTCTCTCCTTCTCTCTATCTCTCTCTCTCTATATATATATATCTTGTTAGAGTGAAGCTGTCGGCAGCATAGAGGACTGGTGATAACAGAACCCGCCCGCCCGCCCGCCCGCCCGCCCGTCCGTCCGTCCGTCCGCCCGTCCGTCTCTATATCTATCTATGTCTATCTCTCTCTCTCTCTCTCTCTCTCTCTCTATATATATATATATATATATATATATATATATATATATATATATATATATATATATATAAGAAAAGAACCCTTAGTGAAAACAGCGCCCTTAGTTTTCACTAAGGGTTCTTTTCTTCTATACCCACGCCTTCGGCACCCCGCCACCATGCCCTTTGAATATATATATATATATATATAGATAGATAGATAGATACCGGGTGGTCATTTTTAAGTCGAACAGATTTATTTTAAAAAAAAGCCGTGAAAGTTACACTTACGCAGCTCGTGAAGGTGAGTTATACAGCCATTGAGACATATTATAGGGGGCTAATCGTAACGATCAGTTGGCTACTTAACTAAAATTCGATAATTAACTTTTAATTATTGAAAATTGACATATGGTTCCAACTAAAACTTGCTCAGCGTCATCGAAAACCACTAAATCAGTCATTTTCAGAAAGACTTCGAGCGCGTGAGAAGCGTTGTAGTGGACAAAAGTTACCACTCGTGGAGCAGGTACAAGGCTAGCTGTTGCGATAAGGCGCCCGCGCGATTTTTCCGTCTCTTATCTAGCCCCAGCCTTCTACCTGCTCCACGAGTTGTAAGTTTAGTTCAATACTACGCTTCTCATGCGCCGAAAGTCTTTCTGAAAATGACTGATTTAGTGGTTTTCGATGACGCTGAGCAAGTTTCTAATTGGAACCACATGTCTATTTTTATTAATTAAAAAGTTAATTAACGAATTATAATTAATTAGACGACTGATCGTTACAATTAACCTCCTATAATATGTCCCCTTGGCCGTATAACTTACCTCCACAAGCAGCATAAGTGTAACCTTCACGGCTTTTTTGAAACAAATCTGTTAAGCTTAAAACAAACACCCGGTATATATATTGTCACGGGTGGTGACCAATAAACAAGAAATAAACAGGAATAAATAAACGTTTAATGTGGCGAACTTGTGCCAAAAATAAAAGGGGTACAAAAGAAAACAGCAGAGCGTCGCGGGCGTCGATGTCGGCGAAACCGCAGGATCGAGCGCAGGGGCGAGACTGACTCGACAAGGTCGCGAGCGGCGTCTTATCTAGAGTGAGTCACTATCTCGAAGATTCGGCGGAGAAGGTTCGGGCGTAGCGCGCTCGGGGCGAGAATGAACACGCACTTTCTAGAACAACACAAGCAGGGATAAACAATAGAAGTTATGTCCGGAGCAAGAATAAACGAGAAAGTTCTAGAAGTCCGTGACCCTGCGTGCGGCAATATATATATATATATATATATATATATATATATACAGGGTGTTTCACGAAAAGTGTACAAGTTTGATATTGCGAAAACGACTCATTGCAACAAAAAAGGCTTGCATTTTTTTTGGTCCTGGGCCAGGGGCCTATTTAGAAAAATTATGAAAATCCGGGATAATTAGATGGTTAATTCTTTTTGTGTAATTAACTTTTTAATATTGTGTTTACGGGCATGGTTTAAACGAGAAAATTGCTCAGCATCATCGAAAAACACTAAATCAACAACAAGGCACGCGCAGCATTTTACGGCTCTCTTAAAAACCGCACAAATTCGATGTTTTTTTTTTTAAGTTTCGGTATGCAATCGGAGCGCATCTCGGCCATGACGGCACCGCGCCCCGTGGAGAAATAGTGCAACCAACCTCTGCTGCGCTGTCCTCGCGCAAAGCAGTAGAGGCTGGTTGCACTATTTCACTTAATACTGTATTGGATGTATAAACTCAGACGTCCTAAATATACATTTACATAGGCATCTGCGTTTGGTACTTTCCACTGAGTTATTTCTGATGCCTTTTTCTCCTCAATCACAACCTTTAGGTGTACCCGCTTACCGAGCCATTTTACGAGCTGTACAGGAACTACGAGGAAGACCCATTTCTGGGCACTGCCAAATGCGTGAAGTTCAGTCAGGTGGGCCCAGAAGAGGATCGCGGATACCCGATATTAGCTCAGTGGGGAGAAGAGAACCAGTCGATGTAAGTGGCATTTCAGAACGCATCATGCGCCATCAACTGTAGGCACTCGTAAACGTTCTCGCGCAGTGAATACAAAAAAAAAATTAGAAGAAGGAACATCACACCCAAAATTCACAAATCCGGTTGCTGGCATCGGTTATTAAATTAGCTCGTTATTTTCGCTATTAGTGCTGAGAAATCCGTTAATTAAGAATTGGAATACATTACGTAAATGCCCACTATGTGAATACGAGGATGACATCATGTCGCATCGAGAAGGTCATTTTCTCCCAGCTCCTATCATCAAATGGTTCCAGGCGTAACACGCATCGCTAATAAAGTCGTCCGCCAAATCCTCAGCTGCTGGCATTAGCAAGATTGTTGGTATTATTTTTCGAGGCAGAGGTCTATGTCTTATCATCTTATTAGCTTATATCCACCCCTCAATGCACATTAAATTAAAGTTATTGGTTGTTACGTGCTTATGCTAAATTTAAGGCTTGTTTTAGAGCACAGATTCGTTGTGGGCTTATATACATTGCGTTCACGAATAGTAGTGCAAGCCTCTCTCACGCAAGTTATCTCACTAAGAGTTCTGTCACATCTGCTTGGTCCACAGGATTGCATATGCAAAACTTGAATCCAGTGAAGGGTACACAGCAAAAAACATGGTAGTCTATGCGGTGGAAGGTGGTAAGTAGGCTCGTGCTGCTTATAACCATGAACTGCGTCCTTAGAAAGATAAAATATAATGCTGACGTGGGTATAAAAATGACAGCGTTATTCACCCAAAATACTTACGTTGCAAGGAATCTATCATTTATGAAGCGATGATTTTTATTTGTTTACGTTATATTTAAAAGTTGCTTTGGGGGAATGAAGTACATCCTGCTCAACGATTGGTATCACCCACCCCTCACATATTATTAAGCACTACGGAAGGAGAGCAGCTGGATGTTGTAATTCGGTAATTTAGAGCCTACACTCTAAACCCTGCGCGTTTACGGTGCGCAAATTAACAGTGCACCGAGATGCCGAAAAATAGCATTCGTCTAATTCTATAACAGGTACAGTGTGCGAATCCGGTGAATGAACCCGTAAACGGCACTGTGAATACTGCCTTCAGTCGCTCAGGTGTCCTTTATGTTCTCGCAGTAGCCCAAACGTGGGACGAAATAGTTCTAACCAGCGACTGTGTTGCTCTTTCTGGAAAATTATAATACAATTAAAAAATCACCCCACAGCCGCAGAGGATGGGCAATTTTTCGCTGATCGTTGGGTTCCAGGTTTGATTATATGTTAGGTATCGCTGTACATGGTGAATTTATCCAAGGATGGGGTTATCTATAGGACGTCAGAAATAAGAAAAAAACGTAGTTATATTTTCGTGGGCCGAAGGGGCCCTTCTATAGACAACACACAACAAAAAGCAGAAAGGGAGGCACTATGGAACACTTTCAACAAGTGAACTTCCGTTTACAATCACTGCACAAACGTAATTGGTTTCCAAACTTTCAATTGGGCACGACCTATAACTTACCCAAGTTTAGGAAATACAAGAAACTTATTCTTTAAACTACGGGTGACAGCGTTTAAAGAAGCAGGAAGTGCAAGTGAGTTTGGAACCTCGGAAATAACCAAAAATAAAATATACGCCGTTCGAAGCTTGAACGATAAAATACAAAAATATGTAAAACCCGCTTCTACAACCAATCGAAAAAGCTACACAAAAAACTCCTTCAATTGTTCAAACACACGTGAAACTTATTCGTGGGTCAATGATGTTATTGGTTCTTGGCTTTTACTAGACGATTGTGCTCATTCCTTTCAGTCACTAGTAGTTCAGTACAGTTTAATAAAGGCGCACAATTATTACACCAAATGAAGTTTTGGAACACTTCTGCACACAGCTCTCTATTTTTTGTGTAAACTTTTTGCGCATTCGACTTGTCATTAATGCAATGTTTTGTCTTTAAACGTCCCAACCTCCAGAACCAAATGGAATTCATACACACTTCAGGAGGTACCATCGATATTTCTAACCCTATGTTGTTTCAGTATGCCCCTCTGAAAGGAAGTGAATGGATTTAATTTTTTCAAGCAATAATAACGGAAATCGGTGTTAAGGCTGAATTCGTGACCCGCGTAGTTTAGGTAAAGGGGTAAAATATAAAATAAACAAATATGACACGTCTTAATTGGTTGGTATTCTTCGGGAACTTCTTTCTTGGATAAAAAATGTTCAAATGTTGCTATTATACATATTCAGTACAAAAGGTGGTGATATATTGTACCTCCACTATTGCGTAAAGCATTCCTTTTGATTGCGAATTTAGCTCCAGTTGTCGGCCAAAATTGCGCATTAATGCCTTCATAAATCACCATAAATTAACGTTGCATAGAAAATAAGGAACCGTATTTGGAAGTGTCAAAACACTTGATCAAATCTAAGAACTGTGTTCCTATATTGAACTCTGCTCAAGTAGTATTGACCGAAAGGAATTACCCCACGTGTTTGCTGAGAGAAACAATAACAATATTGAAGCGTGGCACTCTGGGGAATAAGCCTTCCTGGTATTTTGATTTTGATTTGCTTTGCAAGAATAGTCTTTGCCTATTATTTTTGTCGATTGTAGTACTGGGTTCGAGTTATCATTTTATTAGAACCTTTATGCTTTTGTGCGAGTTTTTTTATTTATATTCTACATTGTACGCCCTAGGGCATCCACTGATTTTAATAGCCTAGTAATCCGGAGGTCAGTAGCTGAAACTAGTTTCTTCCTGTTTTGCTTTGCGTCTTCTGTGATATGAGATATTTTTAAGTCCATTAAATTGATGGCTTTCTTAAGTTCTTCACTGTTTAGGTCGTTATTTAGAAGAAAAAAAGCCCTTCTAAAAAAGCCCTTCTTTCGAAAATTCTCCGTGTTTTTTTGTTTTTTTTTTCCTGCACGAGCGAGTTTCAGTTCTCAAATATTTTTTAACGAGTGTGCATTTGTCCATTTCTCAGTAGGAGCTTGTGATATTGTGTTGCTTATGATGTCGTGGCAACAAAACTGGCGGTGCTGGCATGCTATGCCATCGACTATCAAGGGTCGCAAGGAAAGACGCACGGACAAATTTCGGGGAGAGGATTCCCTTATAAACCTTTCCATGCTTTAAAAATGCTCTTGGCGATCATATCTGCGTATTACAGCCAAAGACGCGACAGTAGGCATTTTGATATCGAGTATTTTGCGTTCGGCCTAATATATCATTACCCATTTCCAATACTTAATCATATTTCAGTGGATGGGTCACTGCCCTTATACGTTACATTCTTGGAAGTCGGCAACTGCGGAATAATAAGGAACGCCTACGTGAACGGTACGTGTGAATTTTTGACGTTTTAAAAAAGGTTCAAAGTCTCAGTATTTTTCTTTGTTTTGTGTTTGCAATACATGCGAGTCTCTCCCGCGAGACCACACAATACATGTGTTAGCTGGCACAGCGTTATTATGCGTAAACCCGAGGAAATAAAATAGTAATGCACAATCGGGTTCACACCATGTCGGGGATGCCTGCCAACCGTTTTGTCTTTCAGTTTCATTTATATAGATGCTGAAAACAAAAATCTATTTACTCTCTAACATCGTACTCATTACTATATGTTCATTAGATGTATAATTAAACTTACTTGTAATTGTGAATAAAAGGCTCCAACATCATATGCCTGGAAAATGCATTATCGGTTGCTGTGCTAATGGCAAAAGGTTGCAATATCGACAACCGGAATGACAATTGCCATGGCTATTATTTCTTCTCCAAAAACATCAAAGCAAATTGCAAAGCTCACCTGTCAGTTACTGCATTACACTGCTTTATGGGCGGAAGCATGGTTTGAGGCGAGCGAACGGTAAGCCATGTGTTACACAGATGTGGTTTAGTTCATTTTGATATAGGGCTACGTGTTAAGTAATTTGATATATCGTGTGCATTAAGATACATTGTACAACGCACTTATTCGCACATTACAGAGGATGCATGCTGCGTCGTCGTTCCCGAGAGTCATCTTGGACAGGAGACAGTCATTTGCGACTTCGTGTACGACCTGTTGTGTGGTAGTTATAAGTACCAACTCTATGACGGAAGTTGTAAATGGTGAATGAATATTCACCTGCCTCGCCGTTTACAAGAATTATTCGTCCAAGGCACTCCACAATTTAACATCATGGCAATCTTGGCCATTTTGTTTACGTGCCTGTTTCTTTCTCTGTCTGGTTGTTCTGGTGGTGGAGCCAGTCCTTAATAAAGTAGGCTTGGGTTGACCGAAACTTGTACCTCGCCTTTTTGTAGTAAGGGCAGTTCCACTCGAGGTGGTATATATCCGCGGGTTCATGTGTGTCACCTTGGCGCACCGGCTATACCTTTCGCTTCTGCTCCGCTTGGCCAACTTGACCGCAGTACGAGCGGCATCCCCCATGATGCGAGCTAGGCAAGTATTGTCCTTACGGCGGAGTCCCTGAGGCAGGGAGTAGGGTTTGGGAGAATCCTTTCCCACACGGTGATTTTGTTAAGTTACTTAATATTTGTACTGTCCAGTTGGGTGTGATCATGGGATATGTTGCTGAGGGAAAATGAGGCAGTATATACGTGGTCGTATTTCAGTGGACCCGAGCCAGCGTCCTTGTGGAATAATGAGAGGGACTCGCGAGCGAGCAGATGGGCGTCGTCATTTCCGAGGATTTGAACATGGTTAGGTATCTTGACGTCGGTGCCTTGCTTGCTGTGCTCGGCATCCATTAAAGTATTTTACCTTGCCGTTTGCCCTGGCTGCCTCGTCGAATCCTTCTAGTGCATCTCTGCGTTAAGAAATACCACAATTAAGATATGTTTTAAATGCATTTAATACTTGTATTATTTCGTATCGTTTGTCCGAATTCAAAATGCATCCTTGTATACACATTTATATTTCCAATGCTTTAAAAATATGGCAAAAAGTATATTCTAAGCGCATTATATGTGTAATAAAATGTAAACCAATTTATATGTATATAACAATTGAAATGTATTTCGCATCCTCTCACATTATTTTGGCTTATCAGTATCCTCTATTTTCTTATTTTCAATATCATTGAGGCAGATATAGAGGATATTCAATTTATATGAACAAAATAATGTATTTAAAATGCATTTCTAAAGTACTAACAATGTAGATATGTATCTAAGTAAATTTGAGGTGGTGTGGAATATGTATTTTAATACACGTATTTTCAGAAATATATATTTAGGACAAGACTAAAATTGAGAAGAGTTTTTTTGTATACATTTTATGCTAGTGATAATACGATATACACTTCAAATGTATTTATTATATTTTGCACATATTTCAATTCTATTAGTTTTCGCTAAAGGGTATAGCATCATTCGTAATGATGCTATACCCTTTAGGCCCTATTCCGTGTCGCTGCTGTAGGAGTAGGCTAGGGACATCCGGATGGCCTCCAACTCTCCTCAAATAAACGCTGTGCTTTCTGGGAGGGGCTCCCCGGGCCGGTTTACTTGAAGCCGGTTAACTTAAACCGCAGTGAAAAGTTAACCGCATTTCCCTATGAGGGGGAATTTCAGGTCACGTGACCGGCAGAGTAAGGAGGTCGGGGAAACATGGCGGTGCCCCTGCGAGCGAGCGTCGCTTGCTTTGAAACTAATATATCATAGTAGCTGTTATATCGGAGGCGTTAGTAAGCAATCAACGGTGCAGGACGCTTTCGCTTTGCCTTACCTCACTTAAATCGCAGAACATGAGCAATGAACTTGCCGTATATTTTAGAAAGTCTTCTGATTCCGGCCAATCTTAAGCATAAATGAACGCAGTAATTGTCGGCATGGCAACGTCTTTCGAATACTATACTGGACTGCCCTGGCTCAATCGGCCGGATATTGATGCCACGCATCAATATGAGGGGCTTGGAGCGATAAACCGAGTGCCGGTCAGCAGTCGAAAGTGAACCCCATAAGGCCGCTGCCATTGTACGCAAATGTGACCACTTGTCATGTGACCAAACCAAATATGTGACGTCACAGGAAAGATGGCAGCGCCCAGGTAACGGCTGGCCCCAGCTGGGCCGCAGCTTGTCGGATGCTTTGTTCGTTGTCATTCATCTCGGCGAGTTGATTTTAGATGTGGAAGCCGTTATATGAGGCCACTCGAAAGCGACTTCAGAGTTCAGCGTGGCGTAGGTATAACGGGAAAATACGGAGGAAATTGCTGGTGATCGACGAGGACATGTCCACGAAAGAGATAATCGGCCCTGCGTTGCTCGGACATCGGATTGAGTCGGATATCGCTCGGATAAATTTTAAGGCGACGTTTCTTTCCTCTTGTTGACCACTGGAATCTTCGAGGCCTGCAGCGAAGCGTGTGCAATGTATCTGGATACAGAGTTTAACTACGGAAATTGTGTGAGTCGTGCTTTGCAGTGTGCAATCGTGGTGCCGCTTCGTTCAAATAACGGAAGGCTCACTTTGGTTGTGCGGCGCACTGGAGAGCTGCCTTGAAGCTGGTAGGTCCCGTACCGTGCTAAATGATGCTGTACTGCTTCCCAAATTGTTCCGGCGGAGGCGTGCACTTTCACGGAGCACTGGTGTTGCAGTTGGTATTGATTCTGCTGGCCTGTCGCACGTTTCGTGGACACAAACGTTTTATCAACACTTGTTACGCGAATTGCAAGCTGTACGGACATTTCACCGAGCGTGTTACCTACCCAGCTCACCCGTTAACGCCGCTTTGCGGAGACAGTCTTCAGTGGCTTGTTACCAGAAAAGTGGTCTCACATCCATTTCAGTTCAGTTACGGCAGTCGTCAAACCCCGAAGGAGAAGATTTATTCCGACAGTATGCCACCAAAGCAATGCAGCTTCTTTAGTGGTCGGGATCGACTTTCTTCTATCAGTTTTGTCATATTGTCACGGATGCTTGTTCCAGTCCTATCTTCTATCAATATTTACTATTCTGGAAAGTTCCAGGCCATGCTCGGCTGTCATCTTATGTTCTGGTGAAGCTGCTGGGTAATTTACATATAACCCTTCCCTATGTGTGCACCCTGGCGGCTCCTCAGCTGAGTTGCCCGATAACAGGACACGGGTGGTGGGCTATCCCGCGTCATAAACTCCTGGCGAAACGTGAACCAAGTCCCAGCCCGAGCCCAACAAAAAATCCGAGACACCGAGCGAGTACGACAAGAACGAACCTCGCAAATACACCACGAAGAACCTGGAGTCCGAGCCAGTCGCTACTACCAGGAAGAACCACCGGATTTCGGTCTCCTGCCAGAAAAGCCGAATCTGACTAAGCCACTCAAAAAAGATCTGCGAAGTACAAATAAATCGGTTACCGTGCTGTCCTCTAGAGTTACAGTTATTGAAACGCAAGCGTCCGCTAGCGCTTTAACACTAAAACATTTGCATGGAGAGATTGTGACATCTGGGACAGTGTTATCTGGGGTGACGGGGCGCCTTTCTGTTCTTGAGGCTCGTTGCAAAGATGCCGAAAATAGACAAAGGCGTAACAACTCGATTATTCATGGCTTACCTGATACAGATAGTGAAAAGTGAGCGATCACTGAACAAGTGGTCCTAAAAATGCGTTCAGAGAAGCTTGGCCTTAGTTTAGATCAAAGCTGGATTGGACGTGCCCACAGAATGGGTCGTTTTGGTCCGAACAAAAACCGCCCAGTAATAGTAAACATGTTGTCGACTACGCACAAGGATTTGATCCTTAACGATGCCCGCAAGTCAAAAAGGTACGGGATACTGCGTAAATTATGATTTTTCCCCAGCAGTGCGTGAAGCACGACGAGTTTTGCTCACCTTTGCGAAAGTTCAAAGTGAAAGATTTAAACTTCGTTATAATAAAACTTCCATTGGTAATAATGCTGTCGTTTATGATCCTGTGTGCAGCAATAACCCAGCATGAAGCTGGGCATGGTGGGACCAGCTTGTGCTGTTTTTTTTTTAATAGGGCCATACAGGTCAAGCTCATTAATCTTACATAATAAAAACAAAATACAAATCGCAAAAAAAATATGTGTGCTTGATAAATATAATTCTAGGTCTACGATGGTGACGATGGATGATGGTAGCCTGTTTCAGTCTTAGAGGGCTTGAGGAAGGAAAGACTGATTGAATGCGTTTGTTCAATCGGAAATGCGTTCGATTGTGCAGGAGTTAAGGCGAGAAGATGTTCTGTCAAGAGGTGATAACAACGAGTTTTTGAGGTCGGATCAAGGATCTTAGACTCTACGAAGAAGAGAGAGGCGAGAGAGTTTTCTGGGGAGCTGCAAAGAGGACTGCCTTAGTTGGACTTTTTAAGGCGAACACACTGACTGAAAAATAAAAGGTGGACAAAATGAAACGAGCGGCCCGGTTTTGTACTGCCTCCAGGTGGTTGATGAGGTGGGCCTGCCTGATGGTGACTCCCAGGTGGAGCATGCATATTCTAATTTTGGTTTGATGAACGTGTCGTACGCCATTTTGCGGACTAGTGAAGGAGCACTGTGCAGGTTACGTCGGATGAAGCCTAGAGTTCTCGATCAGTCGGCATGTATGGCTTGAATTCCATGACAGGTCTCATGTTAGTCTTTCATCAACGGTTTCGATTAGGTCAGAGCCAAGGAAGTACTGATGATATAGGAAGGATTTCTTTCTGGTGAAGCGAAGTAATTTACATTTGGATTTGTTTAGTGACATCAACCAGGTGTTGCACCTTTCGTTATTTTTGAGGAGGTCAACTTTTAGCTGGTTGTGATCATGCAGACATGTTACTTTGTTATGGACGACGCAGTCGTCTGCGAAGAGGCGAATTTTAGAGGAAATGGTGAGAGGAAGTTATTGACCAATTTTACAAAAAAATAGTGGCCCAAGAACGAACACTCGCAGAACACCAGAGGAGACATTTTTTAAGGTGGATACGTGATTAAAGGAAGTCGTGTATCCATGCAAACACTAAAGGAACAACGTGAATAGAGGACAGCTTGGAAAGGAGGCGTTGATGGGGGACACGGTCGAAACCTTTGGAGAATCCACGAACGACCGCGTAGGTCTCAGCATGGCACTCGATTTTAGTGTGTAGGTCATGGATGGAAGTCTAAGATCTGCGTCTCACAGG